CTTGGCTCCTACACACCATATATTGTAAGAATGGCCCTTGGCCACACTAACCGTGCAGCCCGAAATTAAAAAAAAAAAATAGGCAAAACGATTCCAAGTTTAAAATAGTGCTAGAAAATGTACACCGGAGAGGCCACACCCACCTCCAATGCCCCCACCACCAGTCAGCAATGATTTTCCTCCAACTAGCACCCTAACAGGATACAGATTGGCAGGATACAGACTCACCTCTCACTAAGCGGTTTAGGAATGTATATCAAGAGCCACAAAAGTGGTGTGAGCTGAAGCAAAAGCATTGAAATCTTCTGGGGAGATCGAGGGACTGCAAGCTGTTCCCTAAGGATTTGTGTGCATTTTATTCTAGAAGTCGAGAAGCCACTGAGAGTTTTAAACTCCAAAATAATGTAGGAAGATGGACTGAAAAGAGGAAAGCTGGAGGTAGAGACACCAGGTAGGAAGCGTTGTAGTCGGACAGCAGGACAGCAGAACTAAGGTAAAATTAATAATTCTCATTTAGGGGCACCTAGCTAGCTCAGTCGGTAGAGTGTGTGACTCTTGATCTCGGGGTTTGTGAGCTCAAGCCCCATGTTGGGCATAGAGCTTACTTAAAAAAAAAAAATCCCATTTAATTTCCCACCATAGACCAGACACTGTGTTAAGTGCTTTACATTTAGCCTGGGTGGCTCAGTCGGTTCAGCGTCTGACTTCGGCTGAGGTCATGATCAGTGGCATTCGAGACCTGCATCCAGCTCTGTGCTGACAGGTCAGAGCCTGGAGCCTGTTTCAGATTCTGTGTCTCCCTCTCGCTCTCTGCCCCTCCCCCACTCTCTCTCTCTCTGTCTCTCAAAAATAAATAAACATTAAAAAAAAAAAGAGGAGGGTCCTGCTTGCCGGGGAACTCAGGAACTCGGCTTTCAGAATGTTTTATCCGTTACTAACTGATAATGCCAGTTTCACTTGGTGCAGGCTGTACGTACAAGCAATGTGATTTACGGTGAATGCTTGCTTTCCTTCTGAGAGTCTGGAATGTGAGTGGCTACTAGGTAGAGAATGCCTATGTGACCAGCCCCAATAAAAACCCTAAACTCTGAGTCTCAAATGGGCATAAACACCACACACATTGCTGCAGGGGGAAGGTGAGCTCTGTGTGACCTTTCACGGGAGGGAGAAGGCACAGGAAACCTACAAATCGATTTCTCCAGACTCCACTTATATCTTTTCCTCTTACTGATCCAGCTGTGCAAACTTACTCTGTTACTGTAGTGAATTTCAACCATGAGTACAACTGTATTCAGATTTCCTTCTAGTGAATCATCAAACTTGTGGGCTGTCTTGGGGCTAAAACAAAGACTTTGAGTTTGATATTGCATGTACTTTTGAGTAGCTTATAAAAACTTGAAAAGGGGCACCTGGATGGCTCAGTCGATTAAGCTTCCAACTCTTGATTTCGGCTCAGGTCATGATCTCACAATTCGTGAGTTCGAGTCCCACATGGGGCTCTGAACTGACCGTGTGGAGCCTTCTTGGGATTCTGTCTCCCTTTCTCTCTGCCCCTTCGCTGACTGCTCTCTATCTCTCTCAAAATAAATAAAAATCAAACTTAAATTTAAGAAACCTGAGAAAACACTATCCTACAGCTGTTATGCCTCTTGAACAAAAGACTCCAAGTTGAAAACCAGGTGGAACTGGTCCTCATAACTGCTGCCACTCTACAGATAACAGAGTGGCCAAAAACTTAGCACACTAGCTCTAGATCCCCAAATAATATTCTCACTGCAACTTCCTAGGCACTAAAAGAGAACTCTTCTCCACAGGGCAGAATGCAGAGGTTATAGCTCAGGTGTACGAGCACAAAGCCAAAAATTTTTTTTACATTCTGCACTTTAAAGATGTCAGCTGCACATGTGCCATGTAATTACATACCGTCAGCCAATTTCTGGGAAAGGAAGTCATTATTCCAGTGTTCATATTCCTTGTTATGGTTGTTTATGGTTGATTACAGTCGGTAATCTTGTTTGACGGAAATACAGTCCCAACTCAGCTCACATTAGAGCCTGGCCGTCAAAGCAGCTGTCTGCTTTTCAATGTTCACTGACACCATGGAGCTGGGCAGAGAGAAGTTGAAGTTGAAGGTTCCTCTGGAATCCTGGTGTCTGTCACTGGGTTAATTCACTGGTGCCATTCTTAGTCAGAAAACCACCTTAGGTGTCAGAATTAGACTACACTGTATCCATCCTCCCGTGCTACCTAGAATTGTTACTTTAGCAAACAAGGTTGTACTAAACAACCTCGTCGGCTGGGGAGCCAGGGAGGTAAAGATAAATAAGATGCTCGCCGCCCTTAAGAAACGCACTGGTTGGGGAGCCTGGGCGGCTCAGTCGGTTAAGGGACTAACTCTTGATTTCGGCTCAGGTCATGGTCTCGCAGTCCGTGATTTCGAGTCCCACACTGGGCTCTGCACTGACAGTGCAGAGGCTGCTTGAGATTCTCTCTCCCTCTTTCTCTGCCCCTACCCCGCGCGCTCTCTCTCTCTCTCAAAACAAACAAATAAACTAAAAGAGAGAGAGAGAAACGTACCGATTTATGGCTGATATGTAGGAATTGTCTGACTACCATGGAAGCACACTGGTCAGCTGTAATTCCAACACCAGCATCAGAGTTATACTAAGAAGTCTTTCTCAGAAACTGCTGGTAAGCTTTACTCAGAGACCACCATCCCCCATGTGGGAATCGGCAGGCCATCCAACACATAGGTGGGCAGTCCCCACAAATTAGGTAGCATTTATTTCTAGCCACTGCTTGCAAACAACCAGTTTTGCGTGAATTATTTCTCTCAGCCATGTAACTTCCTCCACTGTCACTCTCCTTTTACATGTGGGCACCTGAAATAATGGAGACTATAAAGTGGCTGAGAAGGGTCACAGCGCACATGTGACATGGGACCACACTGGCATTTCCAACCTGACATCTGTGGTGTCAGAACACAGGACGCTCTCTCCACACACGATCTCACACGGAACCATATCACATGAGCCTGATCAAGTGCAGATGCTCAGCTGGAGCAGGGAAGCTTCTGCCCCCTCAGCCTGCTCCTCGCAGCAGCCCAGATCCAGCTCCACAGGGCACAGTTTGAAAACCAGTGCGCCGGCTCCAGAGTATGAGGAATGATCATTAAGTCAGTAAGACACCCAACATGGAAATACGTAAAGCTGTTCCCATTTCAAAATGTGAGTAAAAGAAATGATAGAGAGCCGTGAGCTTCTCCTAGTAGGTGATGTCCCAAAGAAGCAGGCTTGGGTAACACGGGCACACACGCACCCATCGGACACTGATCCTGGCACTCTAAACTGCAGCATCACGAGGGTTATTTGCCACGATGAGGGTCAGTGACAGTAATCTTCTAAACAACACATATCCAGCTACTGTGGTACTAACTCTACCTAACCGCTCTCTGATTCTGGCCAGCTCCATAAAGTTACTGTATCCAATATTCTTGCACGAGAAGGAGTAAAGATATGAATTCTCCCCAAACTAATATTTACATGTAAAGAAATTTTCATGAAAATCCCTAAGGTATTTTTTTTTTATTTGAACCTCATTTTCAAAATCATTGTATAATTCATCTGGAAGAATGGCAAAATATATTTTTTAAAATGTTAAAGAATAATGGGTGTAGGGTAGATAAGGGCTTGATTTACAATAATGCTATGATAATGAAGAGGGTGGTAAGGGTTCAGAAATAAGAGATGAAATCATCAGTGGAACAAAACAGAAATCCCTGCAACAAATCTGAACTACTCAGCTTACTAACCATGGGGGTGGGGTGCAGATACTACCTTAAGTAATACACCAATAATAAAGTACATATAGATTATAGATTTAAACTATAAAATTGAAAGCATAAGAATACCAGTGGAAAACAAATGGGCCATTATTTATATAATATTTTTGATAGGGAAAGGAAGATTTTAGGCATGATACTAAAGGCAGAATCCATAAAAGTTAAAGATTTGATTACATAAATTTTAAAAATATGTAAGTAAGGGCACCTGGCTGGCTCAGTCAGTAGAGCATGTGATTCTTGATCTCAAGGTTATAAGTTCCAGCCCTATGTTGGGTGTAGAGCTTACTGAAAAATAAAATCTTTTTTTTTTTTTTTTTTTTTAAATTTTGAGAGAGGAAGAGAGCCCATGCACAAGCATGTGAGCAGGGGAGGGGTAGAGAGAGCGACAGAGAGAGAGAGAGAGAAAGAGAGAGAGAATTCTAAGCAGGTTCCATGCTGTCAGCACAGAGCCTAACATGAGGCTCAATCCCATGAACCATGACATCATGATCTGACCAAAAATCAAGAGTCAGACGCTTAACCAACTGAGCCACCCAGGCACCCCAAAAAATAGGATCTTAAAAAAAAACACACACACAAATAAAGACTATAAAAAGTCCTAACTGAAAACTCTCTAGGGAAAATGAAAACTACCATTAACAATTTAAAAGTCAAACAAACCCACTTTGAAAAAATATTTGCAACCTAAGAAAGGATTAATGTCCTTTATATATAATGAGTTTACCAATCAGTAAGAAAAAGGATATAATAGCAAAAGGAAAAAATAGAGCAGAGGGTATGAACAGGCTATTCCTAAAAAAGCAAATAAACACAAAACATTTTTATGTATTCATTAATCAAAGAGTCAACACAAGAAAATCCCATTTTTCACTTATCAAAATGACACAAATTTCTAAAATAATACCCAGCATCAGCATGATTTGGAAAGCTGACATGCTACCATTGTAGATGTGAAGAAATCATTTTCATTCAGAGAAAAAAATTATGATCGTTAAGAAAGAAAAAATTACTCGTCACTTTTTAAAAAATCCTGTAATGATATTAAATTTCATGAGAAACCTAAAAAAAAAAAAAAAAAAAAAAAAAAGACGAAGAAGAAGCCCAAGACATTGGTAAGCACAGCTTGGGATGGGGCTAGGAGTAGTAAGCTGGTTACCTAGGAGACAGTTTGCAGCCCTCTTGCAGGTAGGTATGCAGGTTCCCAGTTGCCGCAAGTAATAGTCCCAGGTATGGAGGGGAAGGCTTCATCGGCCTAGAAGAAAACTCAGGATGGAATTGGACACCAACAAAATAGGGGTGATCTGAAATGAGAATAATCATGATGCAATTGAAGCAGAAAAACACGAGAGCTGCTTTCAAGGTCTTATCTTTTCACAAGAAAACACATCAAACAGTGAGACAATTAACCTGCTATCATTGCCAGTGACTTTCATGAGTCATCTTCACAGCAGAATTTCACACGGCAAAACACATCTCACTTAATAAGAGATCTGGCATTTTATCTGTGCAAGGTGCTAGCATGAGCAAAATCAAACCAAACTTTTGAATGATGAATCCTGCTTGCCCAAAGTCCGCTTGCTTTTTGAAGGCACTTCATAGACTTACCTTGGCTCCATTTCAATGGAATCCCTCTCGCTCTAGGCTAATTGTAGGTCATTCTGTCTCTTAGCTGGCTTCAGGCCATTTCCTACAAGGTCTTTACCGTTCCCAAGGGAAGAGTGGGGGGAAGGGGGGAGGGAATGCAGCAAGTACTTGCGGGTATTAATCAGAGATGGCACCATGAAACTGAACTGACACTCCTACTTTAGCCTATGCCAACTTATCTCCTGTGACTATGAGACTCAGAGTGATAAAAGGATGGCCTTTCAACGTGTTAATGGTGGTAACGGCTCAAGGTGGTAAGAGGTCAAGATATTTTTATTTTCTTCCTTATACTTTTCCCTATCATGTGAAACTTTTCCATGAGCATATGTTCCTTACATCATTGGGGGGGGGGGTGGAGGGGAAGTTAAGCGATTTTCATATCAAGGGTTGTCAAATCTCCTACACGAACAATTCAAGTTCTCTTAGATGTAATAGGAAGAGAAAAGTAGCTTTACCAGCTACTTTTAAATACACGAATCTTGTTTTAGAATGGAAAAAATTAAATGGGCAACATTTCCAAATCTCGGTAGAAATTGTACAGAATTGCAAATTCCTTCCCCTATCAGAATTCTCAAAAACTATGTTTTTTCCCCCAATTAGGAAGCAGTTCCTAATCAAGCAACTCTCTAGAAATCCAGCAACCCTCTTATCCCATAATCACTAGAGTACAGAACATGGTCAGTGCTATATTCCCTACTTTAAAAATTATTTTAACTTGGGCAACTGGGTGGCTCAGTCAGTTGAGCACCTGACTTTGGCTCAGGTCATGATCTCACAGCACTTGAGTTCAAGCTGCACATCAGGCTCTGTGCTGACAGCTTGGAGCCTGGAGCCTGCTTCAGATTATGTGCCTCCCTCTCTGCACGTCCCCTGCTCGCACTCTCTCTCTCTCAAAACAAAATAAATAAACATTAAAAATAATTTTTAATTATTTTAATTGCTATATATATCAAACCGAAGATGCCAGAATATAAGTTTTATAGGGGGAAGTAAATATAACTTTAAAGCTTTCAACAAGATGCTTTATCAAATGAACTAAAATTCTAGTATGGAAATCTGGGATGCCTGGGTGGCTCAGTCAGTTAAGCGTCCGACTTCAGCTCAGGTCGTGATCTCATGGTCCATGAGTTTGAGCCCCACATCAGGCTATGTGCTGACAGCTCAGAGCCTGGACCCCTGGATTCTGTGTCTCCCTCTCTCTGTGACTTTCCCCTGCTCATGCTCTGTCGCGTTCTCTCTCAAAAATAAATAAACATTAGAAGCACCTGGGTGGCTCAGTCAGCTCAGGTCATGATCTCACAGTTCGTGAGTTTGAGCCCTGCATCGGGCTCTGCACTGACAGCTTGGAGCCTGGAGCCTGCTTTAGATTCTGTGACTCCCTTTCTCTCTGCCTCTCTCTCTCTCTCTCTCTCTCTCTCTCTCTCTCAATCAATAAACAAACATTAAAAAAAAATTTTTAATAAAAAATAAATAAAAATCTAGTATGGAATTCAAAATCACAAATCTCCATCACTTACCACCAGAGACCCAAAGTTACAACAGTGAGGAATGATGATGGAACAGAAATGCCCACTCTTGTAAGGTTATCATTTAAAGCTTTGCTATACAACATGGCAGCTCCCAGCCACATGTGGCTATTTAAATTCATTCAAATTAATTGAGCACATCTCAAATGTTCAATAGCCACACATGGCTAGTGGCTACCATACTGAACAGGGCAGAATAGGCCACCATGGCAGCAAGTCTAATTGGACAGCTCTGAGTCCAGAAAAATCCAGTGTAGAAATCCTCTACATCACATCTAGGAAGAAGCCTCCTTGAATTACAGGGACATTCAGGTAAGAAAGCTTGGTGAGGAGAATGCTACCCTCTCCCAGGAATGTGTCCCCTCAAGAAAAGAAGAAACCATCCATTCTTAGAAAAGAAACTAAGCAATGTAGCTTTAAATTTAATATGCAACGACTCTTACAGCACAGCATGTAGGGATGTCTTTGAAAGAAGCAGACAGTAATTGTGCTTTTTGTACAACTACACACAGAAGCCAAGCAATGAGTCTGTCATAGCCAGGGACAAAATATTTGAATGAATGGACCACTGTTCTGAATCACTTTCTCAAAAAAAAAAAAAAAAAAAAAAAAAAATCCCATATGCCAAAATGAGGAAAGAACCTAAAAAGTTTTTATTTTCATGATGCTCTATATCAGTCAGGTAAAATATCTGTTAAATAGTGCTCTTAATTGCTTTGAATCACATTCTGACGTTATACTAATCTCAAGCTTTGTTTTTCCTTTTAGAACCCCTTTAGGAATGTTGAGATTCATGGATATGATTCTAAGGGGTAGCTAAGATCAGAATCTTTGGGGGGAATTTTCCTTAATAAGACAAATTTCTTTGCAATCAACTTTTAAAAATTGCAGGATTTCACAGCGTCTCTCATTTCCTTTCCAACACGCACGAGATTTGCAAGTATCAACGGGAATCTAAATCCAGGCGATAAAAGAGGCATCTAAGAATTTGCTGACAATAATGAGAGCCAGGAGAATTAAAAGAAAGTACGTACTTGAATGAAGTAAACAAATAGTTATCTGCTTAAGAAATTCTCTGCCCTCTCACATGCCAGAAAGATTTAAGAGACTTCAACCCCAAAGAGTGATCCACCCTATAAAAATTCTAAATGATAGGCATTTCCATCAGAAAGACTACAGGAAATGCATCTCCATACCCTAATTCAAAACTTCAGGCACGGACTGATAATCTTAAGTGGAATGTCCAATGAAAACAAGAGGAACAATAAAATCCACAGAGGTGGTCACAGGCCGTGGTTGGGCTCCAGCCGTGCCTGTGACTAGCTGGATGGCCTGGGCAAGTTATTTATCCTCTCTGCACTCCAATCTCCTTCTCTGAAAAGTGGGAATAACATCACCTGCCTTGTCACTTAAATAAGGCACGCAGAGTCCCTAGCAAGGGGTCGAGTGAGAAGCATCTAGTGAGTGTGCATGCAGTGTCCACTGCTTTCCCTCTTTGAGGTCCAGGTAACATGTTACTGTATTCAAAGAAGCCTTCGACAACTTTAATTCTCCTCCCTGCCCAGGACTCCTGAAATACCTGAACAGATTAGAGACAGAAAAGGAAAGGGAGAGAGAGAAGGAATTTGAAATAGAGGAATGTGACATGGGCTAAGATGGTAAAAGAAGTAGGACATTTAGAAGAGTAAGTAGTCCTGAATATTTGTAGCCTAAAGTAGATAGGTTGGGCGGTGCCTGGGCAGCTCAGTCGGTTGAGCGACCGACTTCAGCTCAGGTCATGATCTCACGGTTTGTGAGCTCGAGCCCCGAGTCGGGCTCTGTGCTGACAGCTGGGAGCCTGGAGCCTGCTTCGGAGTCTGTGTCTCCCTCGCTCTCTGCCCCTCCCCCACTCATGCTCTGTCTCGCTCTGTCTCTCTCTGTCTCAGAAATAAACATAAAAAAAATTTTTTTTTAAGTTGATAGGTTGAAACGATAGGTTCTAGAATGTCATGTTACCATTTTCAGAGTATCCTGTACAAACTAAGCATTTGATAAATGAGACTGGTTTATCCAACAAATTAGTGTCACACGCACTGCACAGTCACAGCCCTGTCCTCGGTAGGAGGTGTTGTAGAGGGAAGAGCCTGGAGGCAGGGAGAAGCTTTAGGACCACTCTGGGCTGGAGTCACCACGCACTGGGCCCAGGGTGGGAGGGATGGGAATGAAATCCCAAACTCGGTCTTCCTTTCTCGAGACGCAATCTACAGGACTTGATAGCTGATTACAAGTTGGGAGTATAAAAGGGAAGAAAAACTAAATGCATCCAATTTTAAGCCTGATAGTCTAGGACAGTGGTTCCCAATCGGGGCGAGTGTGTCCCACAAGGACATTTGGCAATGTCCACAGATGGTTTGGGGTGTTGCAACTTTCAGAGGTGAGGATGATACTACTGGCATCCAGTGGGTAGAGGGCAGGGATGCTGCCACATATCATAGAGTGCACAGGATGGCCCCCACCACAAAGAATGTCCCACTCCCAATGTCAATGGTGGCAAGGGAGAGAAACACTGGACAAGGAGATTGATGATAACAGAAATAGTCAGGAGGAAGAACTAGTTTGGAAGCATGTAAAGTTAATTTTAAATAAGTTGAATTAGAAGTCCTAGGAGAATATCCAGATAGATAAACAGGTCAAGCAGGCAACTGAACATGTTAGTTTCAAGTTAGTTAAATGAAGTATATACGTGTGAGTCCCGAACAGGGGTTGGCAAACATTTCTGTAAAGGGCCAGGTAGTAAGTAACCTTAGAGAAAGAGTAGGGATCAGCTGTAAGCATGGGCTTACCATATCTTTGCAGCTCTGAATGAGAACACTGTCCTCTGTCTCATCATTAATGGTGTATGGTTTGTGCCTATGCTCTCCAGGGTGTCCCAGGCCACACACAAACAACTTCTTCAGTGATCTCCCTCAACGAAAGTCTAATCCCTCTGTGCTGTTTGGTCTAAGAACTTCCGTGGATACACCGACTAGTGTTCAAAAGTCAAATGACTAGCCCACACTTGACCACAGAGAGCAATATAGAAAGGCAGACTCCAGGTACAACGAGGGGCCCACGTCCCAAACACAACAGACGTCAACACCAGTCACCAGTAGTGAGGAGGGCGCTGGGTCATTCTTCCTCAAAGGAGGAAGAAAGCAAAGTGTTACTCAATTAACAAGCTGCCTGCCTTTCCCAGAGCAACTAACCTAGAGGCTAGCAACGGGAGAAGGCCCAGAAAGGGGGCAGGGATGGTAAGGAAGCATACTGCTAGTGGAACTGGTAGACTCAGAACAATGTATCATTTTAGGGTAGATTCAGACTACTGGGCCCCAAAATGATTAGGACTACACATGGTCTGTTTTCTCATGTAATTTATATTTAGTTATATTATTTATGCTTAGTTGTGTATTTATTTCCAAGGAGAGGGGAAAAGAAGGACAGCAAAGCAAATAAATCTCAACTTATATCTTCACATACAACATCAAATTGTATCTTCCTATATAACAACAAATAGACATTAGTTTACCATGAGAATTTTTAAAAACAAAAAGCCCACTTACTTGCCAGTTCAATGATTTCCATCCTCTCCCCATCGACATCCTGACCTACAAAACTTAAGTCCTTCTGCTCAAACTGACTGATCAGGCTTGGGTTCACCTGGGAAAAACAAGAAATTAAGTGTCTTTGGGCAGAAGTATCAGCTTATGAAAATGTCCATCCATTTCAGTGATGCTTTTAACTAGTAGCTCATTTCTATACCCAGCTCCCAAAGCCTATTTTTAAACTTATGATGAACCTGAGAAACAGGCTAATCACGGCCCCTAAATCTGAGAAGCCCACCTTCTGTCGCTCAAAGACGAGATTCAAAAAGGACTGTGATGCAGATTTCTGACTTGGAGCCTTGAGATTAGCTATTTATAGCTGTCACCATATTTGCTTCTTCGAGTTATGTGTAATTAAGTATCTCTCCTCAAATCACAAATCTGCTTGAGGATTAAAACTATCTTATTTCCCTCGAGACTCACCCCAATGCTTTCTCTATGTATAGTTACATAAAAACTCTAAGGAGAAGCTTAGAGCAATTTTTCTGCTAGAATATTGGTTACAGATGACAGGTTGATGACCTGGCGCACATAGCCCCTTTCCTCGTTCATCTCATCCCTAGTCCTTCCCGAAACTTTTCAGCCTCTCCACAGAAAGCACTTCCTCACCTAAAATCAAAGTGGGGTCCCACCTATCGTCCTCAATCTTAACCCCATAGGCTTTTATGTTATTTTTCTAACATTAGGTTAGTTTTCATAATTTGTAATTATTTTTCCTTTTTCTAACAGCTTTATTGACATATAATTCACATACCATACAATTCACCCACTAAAAGTGTACAATTCAATGATTTTTAACATATTCACAGAGGATTTCAGCTATGACCACAATTGATTCAAGAATATACCTTATCCCCTCTAACCATCATCCCCTAATACCCTCATCACCTCCCCACCAGCCCTAGGCAACCACTGATCCATATTGTCTCTTTAGATTTGTCATGTTAATGGAACCATACAGTATGTAGTCTTTTGTGACTGGCTTCTTGGCTTCTTTCCTTAGCATAACATTTTTAGATTCGTCTAGGTAGTAGCATGCATCAATATTTCATTTCTTTTCATTGTCAAATAATTCCATTGTATGGATATACCACATCTTATTTATCCATTCATCAGTTGGTGGATATTGGTTGTTCCTTTTTTTTTTTTTTTTTTTTTTTTTTTAGCTCTTATGGATAATGCTGCTTTGAGCATTTGAGCATTTGTATATGAGTTGTGTGCATGTATGTTTTCATTTCTCTTGGGTTATATATCTAAGGATGGAATTACTGGGTCATATGGTAACTCTGCATTTAACTTTTTGAGGAACTGCCTGATGATTTTCCAAAGTGGCTGCACCATTTTACATTCCTACCAACAGTGTATCCTCACCACCACTTGTTATTATCCATCTTTTTTGACTATAGCCATACCTAGTGGTATTTCTTTGTGGTTTTGGTTTGCACTTCCCTGATTATTAATGATGTTGAACATCTTTTCATTTGCTTATTGGCCATTTGTATATCTGTTTTGGAGAAATATCTAATCAGAATCCTTGCCATTATTTATTATCCAGTTCTAAGAATCCTTTATATATTCTAGATATAAGAACCTTGTCTGATATATATTTTCTGTTATCTTTTTTTAATCCTGTCCATTGGAATGTAAGCTCCCTATCAGGAGAGAGACTGTGTGTGTGTGCTTCCCCCTCCCATCTCCAGTGCATATCAGAGGCACAAGAAGAATGGAGGAATGGATGGCCACAGTATTGTGTGCACAGTAATTCTCACACCTTCTAGCTACCACTTAGGCAAAGCAGCTCAATAGTATTTGTCCCACCAGTTAGGCCAGTTCCCAATGGAAATAAGACCAAAAATGGCCTATACTCATCAAAGTGTTCCCTAATTGTAGTGACACTATTGATAGCCTACCCGGCATCGACTCCCAGCGGTCTTCCCTCAAAACAGAACCGTGGACTTGTCCTGGCATCTACTCTACCCCCACATGACCCATGGGATTCCATCTCCCCCATTCTAAAAGTTGGTCCTGACTGGTCTAAGCCAACATGATAAGCCTATCCCTCTTGGCTAATGAATGATCCAAGAACTCAGGTTTAAACCTGGTTTAGCTTTGCCTTTGGAATGGTTACTAGTTCAGAGGTGGGCAAGTGATCTGTATTGATCCAATCAGACTGAAGAAAAACTTCCATGTCTAGGAGAGATGCGTGTTGCCTCAGCTGCAGCTGGTAGCCATCTTGCATCTATGAGGGAAACCAGCCTAGGACAAGGTAAATACCCAGAAAAGGGTAAGGCCAAGAGAATCCCAGGGATAGTAGAAGCCCTGATTATACCATGCCTGGAGCCTGCCCAGCCTCTGAACTACCTATTATCTGATATAACTAGTTTCTTTACTGTTGAGGTTGGTTTGAGTAAATAACAAGCAGGGATTTTGATTCTTCCCAGCCAAAAGCATCACAATTGATACACCAATTAATTCTGGTATAGATAGTCTGCATCTTGGGGAACCTATGCTTCTCATGTGACAATCTCAACAGTCACTCTTAGTAATCATGTGACACTAAGGCTCTTGCTCAATGTAGATTTCCAAAGAGGTTCCCAAACCAAGAACTCATTATGTGATACCCAGAGATGCATCCCTAACCTGAGAGACATACGGTTCAGAAGATGTAAGTTCCCTTTACCCAAACCTTCCAAAATAAAGGGCAGGGGGTTAAGGATAAAGATGATGACCTTACCTTGGTCTAGGAGACAACAGTTAGGGTAACGTAGAACCCTGATAATGTCCCTTATGCAGATACTTAAAGATTTTGCCTTTGAAAAGCCAAGAAGGGCTGAGCCCAATGGATACCACAGAGCTGGACACCTTTTCCAGAGGTCCGCTTGTAATCACCGGAGTTCCTTTAACTAAGCATCTACATTCCATAGTAATTTAGTGTGTGGGCCATACCTCATACCGATGTCTGTGCCTTTCTTCTATAAAAGGAACATCACCATAAAGTTTCCCTATAAAGATACAAGAATGAAATTAAAATCAAAGTAATCAGTTTTGGAATCACATCGATAGCATATGTATGGGGGACATCTCTTTGATCTCTATCCATGTGTTAGAGGCCCAAGAATTAACTGGACTCCAGATAGTAATCTAGATTTTCTTCTCTTACAGTACAGAATAGGAATAGCTTCAAAACCCTAAAACAATTCTCAAGTACGCCATCACCATCGCATAAAGGGAAGTCTCTGTTAGACAAGTTCACCATGGAGTCCAAGAGATGTGCCCTCCTTTTATATACCTACCTGCAGTACTGAGAGGGGGAGTAACGTCTGCACCATCCCTCCTGTGCAGATTCATAACAGGGCTCATTTTACAAAAGAACAAAACAAAACCAAAGGAACGGAAACGAAACTGAAGAACTTGCCCAAGGCCCCACCCCGCTGGCAGCACAGTTCTGTCTTGAACCCAGGCCCCCCCCCCCGCCCCCCGCACCTGGTCCATGCTTTCTCCACCACACCATCCACCTCAGTGTAGTGGCCAAATTGGTTTGCACTCTGCCTTAAAAAAAATAAGCCTGTCCTTCGACTCTAACATTTGACCTGTAAGAATTTACCCCGGAAAATAGAAACAAAGAGAGTTCAGCATGAAGATGTGCACTGCTTCATTATTTACCAGCGGACAATTGGAAACAAGCCCAGAGTCAGGAATAGAGGACTGCTGGATTAAATGAGAGCACATCTATACCAACAATTCTGGGGTTTTTTTAAGTTTTTTAAAAAATTTATTTATTTATTATTTTGAGAGAGAGAGAGAGCCCAAGCAGGTGAGGGGCAGAGAGACAGGGAGAGGGAGAGAGAATCACAAACAGGCTCCTCACTGTCAGCGTGGAGCCCATCACGGGGCTGGAACTCATGAACAGAGAGATCATGACGTGAGCTGAAACCGAGTCAACAATTCTTAACCAGGAGTGCATGGCTCACGATCATGTGCGGGGCTGCTAAAACATGCCCATGTCACTGCAGGTGCTGCAGCCCAGGGCAGCATGTGGGGCATGACCAATCTGGCAATGGTCACAGTGACCGGGGGGATGCCCAGTGACGGCAGTGTCAGGCAGATAGCAGTGGCATCCGTCACCAGACCCCTCTCAAGAGCAGGCCCCCCTGGATCATGTGCAGAAGCAGGACGGCACTGGTACCAAGCGGGTTTTAACACTGGAGCAGCCGGAGAGGCCAAGAGCCACCCCCTCAGCGCCAGCCATCATGACGCAGACCCCCGGCACACAGAGAAAACCCGCCAATGGTGCTGGAGCGCATCGTCCAACTACAACAGAATGGCCGGCAGTGCTCAGTTCAACAGGTAGGGGGTCACCAGACTCTCCAAGATGTCACGAGGCTGCGGGCAGGGTGTTCCCACCAAGACAGACCAAATGCCTCGTGCCTCCTTTGAGATTTTTGACTCAGATAAAGCTCACATCAGTTGTATTCTCGCATGACTGATATGATCATTTATCACAACTGAACTTCTATTTGCGATTTTGTCCCTATAGATGCAGCTCCCTGGTGATGATGTTAATGATAGTGAATATTTACCACATGCGTTTTAGAAAAGTCGGAAATAGGTGCGCACAGGGAGCTACTTTGAGAGAGCTCCAACATGCCACCGAGAGGGGGCTCGTTCACGACAGAGCCTTTGTACTCAAACTATCGGTTCATAAAAATGAAAGGAAAAATGGAAACTAATAGCACAATAATGCCCAGTTGGGGGGAAAAAAAGAAGAAGAAGCGTATGTATCATTGTGGAGTTACAAGAGAAACCATTTGAATGCTCTGGACCTAACTTTGAAAGGATCCTGATTCCCTTATGACCTTTGACTTTGTGATCGATCTTTTCCTCCTGTGGGCCAAAATTTCCTCTCTGCTTTCTCCATTACAACAGATGACCTAGAAATCCAATAACAGAGCCTGCCAATATTGACAGATGGTGAGGAAAATGGCAAAAATCTCCACATTACAATATAAGGAATTATATATATTTATATATATGCTTTTATAAATAAAGTTTTATTGGGAAAGCCACGCCCCTTCATTTATGTATTGTCTAGGCTTGCTCTCCCTCTAGAATGGCAGCGTGGAATAGTTGCAACAGAGACTGCACCAGTCCCCTACGCCATTTAATGCATATGTGGCTTGGGTAAATTATTTCACCTCTCTGCCCCAGCTTCCTCATCTGTAAAATGGGAATTACAATAGTCCTATTTCATAGGGCTGTTGTAAATAAATCATGTGATTGCTATTGTTATCTCTAGACTAGGAAATCCAAGCAGGAAGATGATGGACATGATGGGGACTTGTCCCTTCAATTCTTATAACCAGTGTCTAGCACATAAGCAGGTAATCAATAAATATTTGTTTAATGAATGAGAAATATATATACAGGGGATATGATGCAATATGGTTTCAGAACTTTGGAAATACTGTTTTTTGCATTCAAATTCTTTCCCAATGGCTTACAAATCTGTCAAGAACGAATTAACAAAACTAACCCTTTGCCATATCCATGAAAAAAAATTAAAATTTCCTTTAAAACTATATGTTGAGAATCAGCTCAGAATCTTAGCAGTCCAATTCTATTTGAAACCTTACAGGGCACAGGCTGACTCAGTCAGTGGAGCATAGGACTCTTGATTTCTGGGTTGTGAGTTCCAGCCCCACATTGGGTGTAGAGATTACTTAACATAAAATCTTGAAAGAAAGAAAGAAAGAAAGAAAGAAAGAAAGAAAGAAAGAAAGAAAGAAAGAAAGAAAACACCTTAAAAACAAAATCAAACCAAGAATGCTCATTCTGGGGCCCCGCCCCAGGGATTCTGATTTGGTTACTCTCAGGAGAGTGCCTGGGCATATGGGTTTTTACAAAGTGCCTCCTCCCTGTGCGTTCCGGGCTAGGAACCACTGATCCACACTGTCACTGAAAGTGCTGTAGGAGGACAGTCAATGACAAGGCAAGATGCTAGCTGCTGCTGAATGTGGAGGGTATCTAGGTGTGGAGTGAAAAGACTGAGGGGTAGAGACACCATGTTCTGAAGAGCGGTTCTCCAGATGGATTTATCAAGCGCACACACACCATGGCATGATCTTGGCCACAGGGGAAATCCTCCACAAAACAACAGTCTTCCTTTCAATCCTAGTCTTTCTGGAGACAAAATCAAATGCAACACAGGAGCACCTGGGTGGCTCAGTCGGTTAAGCATCTGACTTGACCTGAGGTCATGGTCTTGTGGTTCATGTGTTCGGGCCCCACATTGGGCTCTGTGCTGTCAGTGCAGAGCCTGCTTTGGATCCTCTGTCTCCTGTCTCTCTGCCCCTCCCCAGCTCATGCTTGCTCTCGCTCTCTCAAAAATAACATAAACATTAAAAAAATCAAATGCAACAGAGATTAAGTGCACATAAGGTTAAGGTTCACTTAAGAAGTTAGGCGCCTGGGTGGCTCAGTCTGTTGAGCGTCCAACTTCGGCTCAGGTCATGATCTTGTGGCTCTTGGGTCCGAGCCCCATGTTGGGCTCTGTGCTGACAGTTCAGAGCCTGGAGCCTGATTCTGGGTACCCCCTCTCACTCTGCCCATCCCCCACTCATGCTCTGTCTGTCTCTCTCTCAAAAATAAACATTAAAAAAAAATTTTTTTAAGAACCAAGTGCCAGCAAAGCTTTAGAGAAAAGCAACTGATAAAAGTCTTAAAGTCTTAAAACCCATAAAATGCTCCCAACATAGGCAGCAAGACACCAATAATAAGTACAATAGGTTTCTCAGAAACAAAAACACTTTGCCAATTTACATCATCTCCTTCTCTAATTTGCTACTGGGTAAATTCTGTCTCATACATATTATTTTTTCTCTCTTTCTTTCCTTCTTTCTTGAGAGAGAGAGGGTGCACGAGCAGGGGAGAGACAGTGAGACAGGGAGAGAGAAAATCCCAAGCAGTCTCTGCCCTCAAACTCACAAACATTGAGATCATGACCTGAGCCAAAACCAAGAGTCCGACGCTTAAGTGACTGAGCCACCCAGGCGCCCCGATACATAATATATTCTTTTTTTTTTAATTTTTAAAAATGTTTATTTATTTTTGAGAGAGAGACAGAGACAGAGACAGAGACAGAGACAGGACAGAGTGTGAGCAGGGGAGGGGCAGAGAGAGAGGGAGACACAGAATCCGAAGCAGGCTCCAGGCTCCAATCTGTCAGCACAGAGCCCGACGTGGGGCTCAAACTCACAAACCGCGAGATCATGACCTGAGCTAAAGTCAGTGGCTTAACCAACTGAGCCATCTAGGTGCCCCCAAAATATATTCTTAATCTATGCATGATCCTGCCCACTCCCACTCTCGTGTTAGTAATCCTAGCAACTGAACCTGAGTTATTTTTCGCTCCTTTTCAGAGCCAAAATTTTCCCCTTCCAAAAAGCTACATAAAGCCAAAAGGTGAAGGAAACCAAATGTCTATGGCCAGAAAAATGGATACACAAAAATGGTCCATACATACAATGCAATATCATTCAGCCTTAAACAGGAAGGAATTTCTGACCATGCTACAACATGGATAAACCTTGAGGCTATTACACCAAGTGAAATAAGCCAGCCACAGAAAGACAAATTCTGGATGATTCCACTTATACGAGGTCCCTAGAGTAGTCAAATTCATGGAGACAGAAAGTAGAACCGTGGTTGCTAAGGGCTGCAGGCAGGGGGAATAGGAATTTGTTAAACGGGTACAGAGTTTCAGTTTTGCAAGATAAAAAAGTTCTGGAGATTGGTTGCACAGTAATGTAAATATCCTTAATACTATTGAACTGCACATGTAAAAACATTAAGATGGTAAATTTTATGTTACACGCATTTTACCACAATTAAAGTATTTTTTAAGTTTATTTATTTATTTTGAGACGGAGCAAGAGGGACAGAGGGAGCACAAGCAGGGGAAGGAGACAGCAGGAGAGAATCCCAAGCAGGTTCCACATTGTCA